CAGTCGGATCTAGACTAGATCCCCTTCCTGAAAAGCCCCATTCTTTCTAGTCTTATTTCTTGTGCTTGGTATCTGTGATTCTGCTTAGTGATCGCCTTCACAACCTCCTCGCCAAGCTTCTAAATCTCATGCGCCTGTTCTTCAACATCCTCACTAATCTCTAATGCTGGCAAGAGAGGTAGCTCAACAAGACTCTTGAATGGGGTGCGTCCTGTAGTCTAACTCATAGACTCAGTTTGAGCGAAAATCAAATCCCAATGCTTAATATTATTTCCAAGAAAGCCACTCAGAAGGTTCACAAGACTCTTGTTCACTACTTCAGTACAACCGTCCATCGATGGGTGACCTACTGAACTGAATTGAAGCTTAGCACCTAGCTTGCCCCATAAGGTCTGCCAGAAGTGATTCGGAAATTTGACATTCCAATCAGAAGTAATGATCCTAAGTATCCCGTGGAGTCTCACAATCTCCCTAACGTAGATGTAGACGACATGCAGTACATCCAACATTCGATGGCAGGGTGGGTACAAAATGTGTTATCTTTGAGAATCAATCCACAACCACCATCATAAAATCCTTGTTCCATTGTGTCCACGGGAAACTCACCACAAAATCCATGTTAACATTCACCCGCGGTGCCTTTGGTACTGGGTACTGGTAATGGGGTGTATAGTCCTGCATTATATCTACTAGTTTTGGCCATATAAAAAATCTGACATTGTGTTATGTGTTGCTCCACAATTCATCGGTAAAGGCCAAAAAACGTGTTCTCTTACAAGTGCGAGAGTTTTGTCCCTGCCAAAATGTCATGCTAGTCCTCCACTATGGTTTTCTTGAACAATGGACTTTCTTAACGAACAACTAGGAATACACAGCTTACTCTAGTAAAACAAGTCCTGTAGTATTGCCCGATAGGCTTCTCCTGACACTGCTCTCAGATATTCCCGAAATTCACTTCTATCCCATACAATTCCTTCAATAACTAAAAGCCTACAACTCAAGACTGCATTGTAGTGATCTATATGTGACAATGGCTCAGTGCGTTTGCTACGCTTTTTTGGCTCTCCTACCTTATGCTTAAGCACAAACTGGAATGACGCTAAGAACTTTAGTTTGTTCTAGCTATTCAAGAATTTCGAAGCCTCATGATATGTGAACAAAATGAACATACTCATTAGTAGGTGGTGGATCAAATGATCAAGAGCTCTCACAATGGCATAGAATTCCTTGTCATCATAAAATATTTCTTCCTAGACGAATCCGGCTTTTCATTGAAGAAGGCTATGTGGCGGCCTCCCTGACTCAACACTGCTCTTATCCCCACGTCGATGCATCACACTCCACCTCGAACAACTGAATGAAATTCGATAATGCCAAAACTGGTGCCCGAGTCACCTTCTCCTCAGCGTGTCAAAGCTGGTCTAAGCTACATCTATCCTCTGGAATTTCTCTCATTTCAAAAGCTTTATCAGAAGAGCAGTGATGGTTCTGAAGCTCCAGATGAATCTCTTGTAGAATGATGCTAGTCCCAGAAACTGTTTCAGCTTCGTGAAAGGCTGCAGTGCGATCCAACTCACAATGGCCTCAATCTTCATAGGATCCATTTGCATGCCTACACTAGACACGATAGAATCCAAAAAACATACATGTGCCTTCAGAAAGCGCAAAACATAAAAAAACATCATCACTATAAGTGTTGATTTGATGTATGCCAAAATGTTGTTGAAATACACCACAAATTTCAATATGTGAGCTTGAAACACCTGATTCATCAATTTCAAGAACATGATGGGCACATTAGACAATCCGAAGGCATAACAGTCCATTCGTATAATCCATGTCGGGTCTTGAAGGCGGTCTTCCACTCGTCTCCTGACCTCATCTGAATCTAGTTATACCTGTTTCGTAAGTTGATCATGGAAAAGATAATACTTCCGTGCAACTGATCCAAAAAATTGCCCAAACAAGGTATGAGGAATCGGTATTTGATAGTAATGTTGTTGATGGTCCTACTGTTAATGCACATCCTCCACGATCCGCCTTTTTTGGGTACCATTAGGGGCACAACATGCAGAGTGGTATTCTCTCTGAACAAACCTCTCGCGACGAGATTCTATATTTGTCACTGCAGCTCCTCGTACTCTGTAGGTCTCAAGCTGTAGACAATTCAATTTAGTAACACAAATCTGGGTATGAGATTTATGGCGTGTTGAATATCCCTCAGTGGTGGCAATTCCTCTGGAAGATCGTCGTCATCACGTGTGCTGGTATCTCAATCTCCTCAATTCCCAATAGTAGGACCAACACTATTGCCACCGGAGAATCTCACACCAATTGCATCAAAAGTGGTTCTCAGAACGATCATCTCCTTTTTAACATTTATACCTCTTGCATCCTTGAAGGATAAAAGCACGATGCAACTCCCATCCATTTTAAATGAATAAGTATTCTTGAAGACGTCGTGTTGGATCTTGCAGTCAAACTGTCTTGGCCTCCCCAACAGAATATGAAACGTCCATAGAGACCATGTCGTGGCACACTTGCTCCTGTAGCTGATCCCCAATCAAAATTTCAACCAAGCCCTATTGATCCATGTGTATCTCATTTTTCCTTTTCAACTAGTTAAGGGAGTATAATTAAAGATGCATTTGTGTAGCCAACCCCAATTCCTTCACCATCAACATGGATACTACATTCTCATAGATCCAACCATCGATAATCAAATTGCAAACTTTGCCTTTCACCGTACACTTGGTGCGAAAAATATTGTGCCTTAGTCATGAATGATCCTTTTTCAACTCCATCTGTAGGATTCTCCCTGACTTGTATTTCATCCCGAATAGTTTCCAACATATATCTCATTGGTTACATGATTAGGATTTGGGGGATTTGAAAATGAGGTTGAGGATATGAAAGAAAATCTTTGGTGGGGGGGGGGG